ATAAATAAGAAAAAATAGAAATGACAGCGGACATTAAAGTGTGATAGAGAAATTTCCTTTTCGTTTCTCTGAGAAATTATTGTACAATAGATTTCTGCTATATTTCTTCTTTTGAAGTATTATAAACTATTTAAAATGAAAATATGTTAATGTTTAGTTGGAATTAGTTTGAAGAGATATTGGAAATGTAATTCAATATGCAGCTATTCGTTCGTTAATACTTGCATTTAAAAATTTACAATTAAACTTTGCAAGTATTAACGATCCAGGTCTCACCACGTGGAGGTTGCTGCATGTGGAGACCCACGAGCTAACGGTGACTCTACTTTACTCTAAAATTCGCGCTCCGCGATACCGACCCTTATGCCTTCCGCTTCGGATATCTTGGGCATGGGACAAAGCTAACAGGAAGTATCTAGCCTTAGCTACAGGGACTCCGCTTACAGAAAGCTTAACCGTTCGACACCCTCCGCCTCAGGCATAAGGGATTATTAAGCACATCTGAATTCGTGCATCCGAATTTCGAACAATCAAAGCGCATTAATCGCGTTCGCGACACTCACGTGTATTATAATTACGTAGATTCTACTGTTCTATTCAAATTCGCGAAGTAATCTAATCGAAATATCGAAGAAATAAAACGAAGTCCCCGGTAGGACTTTCAATCGCGCACGCGAACACTTACGTGAGTGTTAGAATAACGGTGACTCTAAGTTGAAATCCGAAGCGAACTCCGAATTTCAACACTAAAACGAAGTCCATGATAGGACTTTTAATCGCGCCCGGACACCCACGCAAGTGTTCGAAAATCGGTGACTCTACTCTAAATAAACTAATCGAATATTCGAGCAAACAAAACGAAGTCCCCGGTAGGACTTTTAATCGCGCACGCGAGCACCCACGCGGGTGTTAGAATAACGGTGACTCTAAGTTGAAATCCAAAGTGACATATGCTAACCGGTATTTAGACTTTCCATGATATTTGTCGGGATTTCCGCCCCGCTACCAAACATTAGGATTGTCATAACATCAGCCAGCTATGTACAGCACTACAAGGTAAACCGTTCGCGCACCCCGAATTTCAACACTAAAACGAAGTCCATGATAGGACTTTTAATCGCGCCCGGACACCCACGTAAGTGTTCGGAAAACGGTGACTCTACTCTAAAAAAACGCGTTCGCGAAATAATCTAATCGAATATTCGAGCAGATTTAAACGAAATCCCCGGTAGGACTTTTAAGTCGCGTCCGCGTACATTCACGTGAGTTTTAGAAAAACGGTGACTCTACTATAAATTCGCGTTTTCGATACGTGCAATCAAACGAGGTATAATCGCGCCCGAGAACACCCACGCTTGTGCACGCCGGCACGCACGCGAGTGTTCTTCCTATCCTGCCCGTAACCGCGTAAAAATCGATGATGAATCGTGCCAGGCGATGACGTATTCGACCAGAGATGAACCTATACCTTGATGATCTATCCTGAAAAAGAAAAAAAGAAAATGAATAAAAGAAAAATAAGAAAATAGAAGTAGCTCTGCACGCTGCTAAAGCATCAGTCCGCTACATCTCATGGGTTCTACCTAATGCTAAAAAATTAAAAATAATTAGAATATATTAATAACAATCCTAAAAACATAAAAACATAATTAAAATGAAATAACATAATAAAAATCTGAAAAGACATAATGAAAAGAAATAACATATTAATGACATAATTAAAAACATAATTAAAGAAGAAAAATATGAATAATAAAAGAAAGCTGCTGAAAGATAAGAAAACAGAAGTAGCTCTGCACGCTGCTAAAACAACAGTCCGCTTCATCTCATGGGTCCTACCTAATGCTTAAAAATTAAAATTACTTAGAATATATTAATAACAAACCTAAAAACATAAAAACATAATTAAAAAGAAATAACATAATAAATATCTGAAAGACATAATAAAAAGAAATAACATATTAATAATATAATTAAAAACATAATTAAAGAAAAAAAATATGAGTAATAAAAGAGAGCTGCTAAAAGATAAGAAAATAGAAGTAGCTCTGCATGCTGCTGAAACAACAATCCGCTTCATCTAATGGTTCCTACCTAAAACCTGTAAATCATAATTAATAAGAATATATTAAAAACATAATTAAAACCATAAAAACATAATTAAAAAGAAATAACATAATAATAATCTGAAAAGACATAATGAAAAGAAATAACATATTAATAACATAATTAGATACATAATTAAATAAGAAAAATATTAGATAGAAAAGAAAGCTGCAGAAAGATAGGAAAATAGAAGTAGCTCTACACGATGATGAGACAGCAACCCGCACAGAGGCCCTCACCCATGGCCCATCCCATGGGTCCCACCCGAGACTATAAAGCATAATTCATAAGAGTTTATTAATGACATAGAAAATGAAAACAAAAAAAATATGACTTAAAAAAGAGAGCCCCAGAAAGAGAAGAAAAGAGAAGCACCTCTATAAGATGCTGAGACAGCAACCCGCACAGAGGCCCACACCCATGTCCCCATTCCATGGGTCCCACCCGAGACTTATAAATCATAATTAATAAGAGTAAATCAGTATGAAAAATATGAAATTGAAAAGAGAGCCCTAGAAGAAAAAGAGAAGAAAAGAGAAGTAGCTTTATAAGATGCTGTGATAGCAACCCACACAGAGGCACACACCCATGGGCTTCTCCCATAGGTTCCACCCGAGATATATATAGAGGATAATTAATGACAGTAAATAAGAAAAAATAGAAATGACAGTAATTATACGAACGATAAAATGCGGAATTTAATTTGATTAAACTTAAGAAACATAAAAGATTAATTAAAAAGAAACGATATATTCTGCATACAGATATAAATAAATATTATTCTCTCTGAAAAAAATATTATATTTATTAATCGATAATATATGATAATATATGTACATGTTCTCTATAACGTTGCTAAGAATATCCTATTGTTTAAATATTAATTAATTATTCCTTCACGTGTTCGCGATCCCACAACTCGGACTTAGCTGAAAAGAAATAAGGAAAGAAAAAAGAATTAGTATATATGTATATTAATTATACGAACGATAAAATGCTAAATTTAATTTGATTAAACTTAAGAAATATAAACGATTAATATAAATAAATATTATTCTCTCTGAAAGAAATATTATTATATCTATTAATCGATAGTAAATGACAATACATGTATATGATTTTTATAACGTTGCTAAAAATATCTTATTGTTTAAATATTAATTAATTATTCTTTACGTGTATCGTACATTGTTTAAATGTTAAGATAATCTTCTTTATTAATTATTCCTTCCCGTGTTCGCGTTCCCACGTCCTGGCTTCCTAGCTGAAAAGAAATAAGGAAAGAAAGAAGAATATGTATATATGTATATTAATTATGCGAACAATAAAATTCTGAAATTTAATTTAATTAAACTTAAGAAAAATAAAAGATTCATTAAAATAAAAAATGAAATACTCTGAAAACTGATCTAAAGGAATATTATTCTCTCTGAAAGAAATATTATATTATTTTTACATTTTATAGATATATGATTTTAATATAGAACTCGATTTTATTAAAATAAAATTATGCATTTAATTGAACTTTAGAAAAGAAAAAATGTGCAAAATTTATCAATCGACTTTAACGTAAAATTTGATTTTATTAAACTAGAATCATAAATTCAATTAAGTTTTAAAAAAAGTTTAATATTAAAAAGGCATAAAATATGAAATAATCCTATTCGCGTACGCGTGGCAATGTGGGAATATTATTTACGGAAAGTTACTTCGTCTCAGTTTTTTAAATTTATACCCCTACACCCATCACCATAAGAGCATTTTGAGTGACAACATGGTAAAATTAAAATACTAATATAGTAAAACTAAGAGCCATTCTCGAAAGTTCCTAGTGAACCTTCGAAAATAACTCAATAGCCTAATAGTTGTCCTCTTGAGCCACGTGTTGTTTTCGGCATATAGCCTCTTCTTTGCTTCGTGCCTCAACCTAATCGATTATCACTCTAAAACTGTAACGACAAAATTTAATTCCAAATTCTAAGATATGAAAGAAAACCCTAATACAACCCTAACGCATCTGAAAACTTATTATCCTTTTGAAAGATACTTTTTCGCAGCGTGGGAGAAATTAGATATTAATTATAAAAAAATTAGAAATTAGATAATTGCTGAAAAATATTAATTGCTGAAAATCCTGAGCTAAAAAATAATTAATTTATCATCTAGGCTTACGGACTACGTCTCTTTGTTTTTTAGCAATCATTCTACTCGATTTTTCTCTTTCGAAACCAATGACTCTATCGAGACTTTTCTTGTATCAATTTAAATTGATTAAATATTTAATTAATAATTATTTAAAAATATAAAGTAAACCCTTGGACGTTCCTTCTTACAAACGAATATTTTAATTATTGTAATAAAATCATTCACAGTTTCGTTTGTAATCCAGAGACTATCCATCGCGAGTGCCTTCTTGCTCATTCTTTATTAGAACTTATGAATATCGATTCTTTACTTATTTCCGTGCGAGTAAAATATTTAAAAATGTATTAAAATATTCAAAATCTCAAATAATTATAAACGCGTTTGAGCAAGAAGACCCTATCCTGATCTAATAAATAAATGAAAAAATAAGAAACCATTCACGAGTAAATCTCCGAAGAAATTTACTCGTGGTCACTCAATGCTCTTCTACTAATTAATTACAACCAATCACTCGTGCCGATTCGGACCTTTCGTCCTCGACATGATCGAGTGATTGGAGGGATTTAAAAATTCACTCATTACTTAAGAAGTTCTGCGATGGCTCCAAAACACTCGTTCGCGAATTCGGTCGAAGTTGAGGGTGGATGATTCATAGGTGATTGAAAATGAAATAGTTTGACATTTCGAAGTTGGTCGAAATTCTTTTCAATGATGCACTGATTCTATTACGCGATAGTTATTCTTTAACGAACGGTCACTGAAGTTAATTCGCGAAAATCTACTATCTTTTATAAATACAGTCTGTATGACTGTTAAAAAAGCAATACATTTTGCGAACAAATACTGACTCTAACGACTGCATTGCACGCAGTCGATGAAAAAACATTTGATGATTAAATCGCGAAACGCGAACGAACAAACACTGCTTCTACTTCGCGATAATTTTTATTTTAGCGAAACAAACACTCGATTACGTCATTACTACGCGCGCGATTGTAATGCAGTTCTGAAACAAAAAAATACAAACAAAATATTTAATTTGACTGTTATAATAAGAAACTGTATAAATTATTGAACAAATGACTGATATGAAAATATACTTACTTAAAATTTTCGTTGATAATTGTAGCAAAGACAAACTGAAAAATCTTCGATGTTGAACCTCGAAGGACTAAGGAGAACTGATCCGCAAATCGTCATAGTCAATATATGTCCCAATATGTCGATATTGCACAAGGCCAACTGTTCCAGAATCAAAATTTTAAACTTCTGAAACATTAAATAAAAATTATTTATAGTTACTCCCGCTTTACTGTCTTTTTAATGCTTAATCGAATATATTATTGTTTAAATATTAGTTTATTGCACTCCACGTGTATTAAAAAATTGTTTAAATAATTGAAAAATTATCAGAAGTATTAATTTGTAAGTTTTCGCGTTTAGAAAAGAGGATTTAGATGTGCACTCGTCGAAATACAAAAGCAAACTAATCCCGAAATCGTCAAAGTTAAAATCAAGCGCGTTTATGTTTATACTGCACAAGGCCAGTGTCCAGAAATAAAAATTTTAAAGTACTGAAATTTTAAATCAAAATTATTTTTATTTTCTCGCGCTTATCTGTATTGTTAATGTTTAAACGAATGTACTATTGTTTAAATAATTGTTTATTGCTTCCCACGTGTACTAATAATTGTTTAAATAATCGAAAAGTTATCGGAAGTATTAATTTGTAAGTTTTCGCGTTTAGAAAAGATGTTTAGATGTGCACTCGTCGAAATACAAAAGAAAACTAATCCCGAAATTGTCAAAGTTAAAATCAAGCGCGTTTATGTTTATACTGCACAAGGCCAGTATCCAGAAATCAAAATTTTAAAGTACTGAAATTTTAAATCAAAATTATTTTTATTTTCTCGCTCTTATTTGTATTATTAATGTTTAAACGAATGTACTATTGTTTAAATAATTGTTTATTGCTTCCCACGTGTACTAATAATTGTTTAAATAATCGAAAAGTTATCGGAAGTATTAATTTGTAAGTTTTCGCGTTTAGAAAAGATGTTTAGATGTGCACTCGTCGAAATACAAAAGAAAACTAATCCCGAAATTGTCAAAGTTAAAATCAAGCGCGTTTATGTTTATACTGCACAAGGCCAGTATCCAGAAATCAAAATTTTAAAGTACTGAAATTTTAAATTAAAATTATTTTTATTTTCTCGCGCTTATCTGTATTGTTAATGTTTAAACGAATGTACTATTGTTTAAATATTAGTTTATTGTTCTCCACGTGTATTATAAAATTGTTTAAATAATCGAAAAGTTATCGGAAGTATTAATTTGTAAGTTTTCGCGTTTAGAAAAGATGATTTAGATGTGCACTCGTCGAAATACAAAAGAAAACTAATCCCGAAATTGTCAAAGTTAAAATCTAGCGCGTTTATGTTTATACTGCACAAGGCCAGTGTCCAGAAATCAAAATTTTAAAGTACTGAAATTTTAAATTAAAATTATTTTTATTTTCTCGCGCTTATCTGTATTGTTAATGTTTAAACGAATGTACTATTGTTTAAATAATAGTTTATTGCTCCGCACGTCTATTAATAATTGTTTAAATAATCGAAAAGTTATCGGAAGTATTAATTTGTAAGTTTTCGCGTTTAGAAAAGATGATTTAGATGTGCACTCGTCGAAATACAAAAGCAAACTAATCCCGTAATCGTCAAAGTTAAAATCAAGCGCGTTTATGTTTATACTGCACAAGGCCAGTGTCCAGAAATCAAAATTTTAAAGTACTGAAATTTTAAATCAAAATTATTTTTATTTCCTCGCTCTTATCTGTATTGTTAATGTTTAAACGAATGTACTATTGTTTAAATAATAGTTTATTGCTCCGCACGTCTATTAATAATTGTTTAAATAATCGAAAAGTTATCGGAAGTATTAATTTGTAAGTTTTCGCGTTTAGAAAAGATGATTTAGATGTGCACTCGTCGAAATACAAAAGCAAACTAATCCCGTAATCGTCAAAGTTAAAATCAAGCGCGTTTATGTTTATACTGCACAAGGCCAGTGTCCAGAAATCAAAATTTTAAAGTACTGAAATTTTAAATCAAAATTATTTTTATTTCCTCGCGCTTATCTGTATTGTTAATGTTTAAACGAATGTACTATTGTTTAAATAATTGTTTATTGCTTCCCACGTGTACTAATAATTGTTTAAATAATCGAAAAGTTATCGGAAGTATTAATTTGTAAGTTTTCGCGTTTAGAAAAGATGATTTAGATGTGCACTCGTCGAAATACAAAAGAAAACTAATCCCGAAATTGTCAAAGTTAAAATCTAGCGCGTTTATGTTTATACTGCACAAAGCCAGTGTCCCGAAATCAAAATTTTAAAGTACTGAAATTTTAAATTAAAATTATTTTTATTTTCTCGCGCTTATCTGTATTGTTAATGTTTAAACGAATGTACTATTGTTTAAATATTAGTTTATTGTTCTCCACGTGTATTATAAAATTGTTTAAATAATGGAAAAATTATCAGAAGTATTAATTTGTAAGTTTTCGCGTTTAGAAAAGAGGATTTAGATGTGCACTCGTCGAAATACAACAGCAAACTAATCCCAAAATTATCAAAGTTAAAATCTAGCGCGTTTATGTTTATAGTGCACAAGGCCAGTGTCCCGAAATTAAAATTTTAAAGTAGTGAAATTTTAAATCAAAATTATTTTTATTTTCTCGCTCTTATCTGTATTGTTAATGTTTAAACGAATGTACTATTGTTTAAATAATTGTTTATTGCTTCCCACGTGTACTAATAATTGTTTAAATAATCGAAAAATTATCAGAAGTATTAATTTGTAAGTTTTCGCGTTTAGAAAAGAGGATTTAGATGTGCACTCGTCGAAATACAAAAGCAAACTAATCCCGAAATCGTCAAAGTTAAAATCAAGCGCGTTTATGTTTATACTGCACAAGGCCAGTGTCCAGAAATCAAAATTTTAAAGTACTGAAATTTTAAATTAAAATTATTTTTATTTTCTCGCGCTTATCTGTATTGTTAATGTTTAAACGAATGTACTATTGTTTAAATATTAGTTTATTGTTCTCCACGTGTATTATAAAATTGTTTAAATAATGGAAAAATTATCAGAAGTATTAATTTGTAAGTTTTCGCGTTTAGAAAAGATGATTTAGATGTGCACTCGTCGAAATACAAAAGAACACTAATCCCGAAATTGTCAAAGTTAAAATCTAGCGCGTTTATGTTTATACTGCACAAGGCCAGTGTCCAGAAATCAAAATTTTAAAGTACTGAAATTTTAAATTAAAATTATTTTTATTTTCTCGCGCTTATCTGTATTGTTAATGTTTAAACGAATGTACTATTGTTTAAATAATAGTTTATTGCTCCGCACGTCTATTAATAATTGTTTAAATAATCGAAAAGTTATCGGAAGTATTAATTTGTAAGTTTTCGCGTTTAGAAAAGATGATTTAGATGTGCACTCGTCGAAATACAAAAGCAAACTAATCCCGTAATCGTCAAAGTTAAAATCAAGCGCGTTTATGTTTATACTGCACAAGGCCAGTGTCCAGAAATCAAAATTTTAAAGTACTGAAATTTTAAATCAAAATTATTTTTATTTCCTCGCTCTTATCTGTATTGTTAATGTTTAAACGAATGTACTATTGTTTAAATAATAGTTTATTGCTCCGCACGTCTATTAATAATTGTTTAAATAATCGAAAAGTTATCGGAAGTATTAATTTGTAAGTTTTCGCGTTTAGAAAAGATGATTTAGATGTGCACTCGTCGAAATACAAAAGCAAACTAATCCCGTAATCGTCAAAGTTAAAATCAAGCGCGTTTATGTTTATACTGCACAAGGCCAGTGTCCAGAAATCAAAATTTTAAAGTACTGAAATTTTAAATCAAAATTATTTTTATTTCCTCGCGCTTATCTGTATTGTTAATGTTTAAACGAATGTACTATTGTTTAAATAATTGTTTATTGCTTCCCACGTGTACTAATAATTGTTTAAATAATCGAAAAGTTATCGGAAGTATTAATTTGTAAGTTTTCGCGTTTAGAAAAGATGATTTAGATGTGCACTCGTCGAAATACAAAAGAAAACTAATCCCGAAATTGTCAAAGTTAAAATCTAGCGCGTTTATGTTTATACTGCACAAAGCCAGTGTCCCGAAATCAAAATTTTAAAGTACTGAAATTTTAAATTAAAATTATTTTTATTTTCTCGCGCTTATCTGTATTGTTAATGTTTAAACGAATGTACTATTGTTTAAATATTAGTTTATTGTTCTCCACGTGTATTATAAAATTGTTTAAATAATGGAAAAATTATCAGAAGTATTAATTTGTAAGTTTTCGCGTTTAGAAAAGAGGATTTAGATGTGCACTCGTCGAAATACAACAGCAAACTAATCCCAAAATTATCAAAGTTAAAATCTAGCGCGTTTATGTTTATAGTGCACAAGGCCAGTGTCCCGAAATTAAAATTTTAAAGTAGTGAAATTTTAAATCAAAATTATTTTTATTTTCTCGCTCTTATCTGTATTGTTAATGTTTAAACGAATGTACTATTGTTTAAATAATTGTTTATTGCTTCCCACGTGTACTAATAATTGTTTAAATAATCGAAAAATTATCAGAAGTATTAATTTGTAAGTTTTCGCGTTTAGAAAAGAGGATTTAGATGTGCACTCGTCGAAATACAAAAGCAAACTAATCCCGAAATCGTCAAAGTTAAAATCAAGCGCGTTTATGTTTATACTGCACAAGGCCAGTGTCCAGAAATCAAAATTTTAAAGTACTGAAATTTTAAATTAAAATTATTTTTATTTTCTCGCGCTTATCTGTATTGTTAATGTTTAAACGAATGTACTATTGTTTAAATATTAGTTTATTGTTCTCCACGTGTATTATAAAATTGTTTAAATAATGGAAAAATTATCAGAAGTATTAATTTGTAAGTTTTCGCGTTTAGAAAAGATGATTTAGATGTGCACTCGTCGAAATACAAAAGAACACTAATCCCGAAATTGTCAAAGTTAAAATCTAGCGCGTTTATGTTTATACTGCACAAGGCCAATGTCCCGAAATCAAAATTTTAAAGTACTGAAATTTTAAATCAAAATTATTTTTATTTCCTCGCTCTTATCTGTATTGTTAAAGTTTAAACGAATGTACTATTGTTTAAATAATAGTTTATTGCTCCGCACGTCTATTAATAATTGTTTAAATAATCGAAAAGTTATCGGAAGTATTAATTTGTAAGTTTTCGCGTTTAGAAAAGATGATTTAGATGTGCACTCGTCGAAATACAAAAGCAAACTAATCCCGTAATCGTCAAAGTTAAAATCAAGCGCGTTTATGTTTATACTGCACAAGGCCAGTGTCCAGAAATCAAAATTTTAAAGTACTGAAATTTTAAATCAAAATTATTTTTATTTCCTCGCGCTTATCTGTATTGTTAATGTTTAAACGAATGTACTATTGTTTAAATAATTGTTTATTGCTTCCCACGTGTACTAATAATTGTTTAAATAATCGAAAAGTTATCGGAAGTATTAATTTGTAAGTTTTCGCGTTTAGAAAAGAGAGTTTAGATGTGCACTCGTCGAAATACAAAAGAAAACTAATCCCGAAATTGTCAAAGTTAAAATCAAGCGCGTTTATGTTTATACTGCACAAGGCCAGTGTCCAGAAATCAAAATTTTAAAGTACTGAAATTTTAAATCAAAATTATTTTTATTTTCTCGCTCTTATCTATATTATTAATGTTTAAACGAATATACTATTGTTTAAATAATTGTTTATTGCTTCCCACGTGTACTAATAATTGTTTAAATAATCGAAAAGTTATCGGAAGTATTAATTTGTAAGTTTTCGCGTTTAGAAAAGATGATTTAGATGTGCACTCGTCGAAATACAAAAGCAAACTAATCCCGTAATCGTCAAAGTTAAAATCAAGCGCGTTTATGTTTATACTGCACAAGGCCAGTGTCCAGAAATCAAAATTTTAAAGTACTGAAATTTTAAATTAAAATTATTTTTATTTTCTCGCGCTTATCTGTATTGTTAATGTTTAAACGAATGTACTATTGTTTAAATATTAGTTTATTGTTCTCCACGTGTATTATAAAATTGTTTAAATAATGGAAAAATTATCAGAAGTATTAATTTGTAAGTTTTCGCGTTTAGAAAAGATGATTTAGATGTGCACTCGTCGAAATACAAAAGAAAACTAATCCCGAAATTGTCAAAGTTAAAATCTAGCGCGTTTATGTTTATACTGCACAAGGCCAATGTCCCGAAATCAAAATTTTAAAGTACTGAAATTTTAAATCAAAATTATTTTTATTTCCTCGCTCTTATCTGTATTGTTAATGTTTAAACGAATGTACTATTGTTTAAATAATAGTTTATTGCTCCGCACGTCTATTAATAATTGTTTAAATAATCGAAAAGTTATCGGAAGTATTAATTTGTAAGTTTTCGCGTTTAGAAAAGATGATTTAGATGTGCACTCGTCGAAATACAAAAGAAAACTAATCCCGAAATTGTCAAAGTTAAAATCTAGCGCGTTTATGTTTATACTGCACAAGGCCAATGTCCCGAAATCAAAATTTTAAAGTACTGAAATTTTAAATCAAAATTATTTTTATTTCCTCGCTCTTATCTGTATTGTTAATGTTTAAACGAATGTACTATTGTTTAAATAATTGTTTATTGCTTCCCACGTGTACTAATAATTGTTTAAATAATCGAAAAGTTATCGGAAGTATTAATTTGTAAGTTTTCGCGTTTAGAAAAGATGATTTAGATGTGCACTCGTCGAAATACAAAAGAAAACTAATCCCGAAATTGTCAAAGTTAAAATCTAGCGCGTTTATGTTTATACTGCACAAGGCCAATGTCCCGAAATCAAAATTTTAAAGTACTGAAATTTTAAATCAAAATTATTTTTATTTCCTCGCTCTTATCTGTATTGTTAATGTTTAAACGAATGTACTATTGTTTAAATAATTGTTTATTGCTTCCCACGTGTACTAATAATTGTTTAAATAATCGAAAAGTTATCGGAAGTATTAATTTGTAAGTTTTCGCGTTTAGAAAAGATGATTTAGATGTGCACTCGTCGAAATACAAAAGAAAACTAATCCCGAAATTGTCAAAGTTAAAATCTAGCGCGTTTATGTTTATACTGCACAAGGCCAATGTCCCGAAATCAAAATTTTAAAGTACTGAAATTTTAAATCAAAATTATTTTTATTTCCTCGCTCTTATCTGTATTGTTAATGTTTAAACGAATGTACTATTGTTTAAATAATTGTTTATTGCTTCCCACGTGTACTAATAATTGTTTAAATAATCGAAAAGTTATCGGAAGTATTAATTTGTAAGTTTTCGCGTTTAGAAAAGATGATTTAGATGTGCACTCGTCGAAATACAAAAGAAAACTAATCCCGAAATTGTCAAAGTTAAAATCTAGCGCGTTTATGTTTATACTGCACAAGGCCAATGTCCCGAAATCAAAATTTTAAAGTACTGAAATTTTAAATCAAAATTATTTTTATTTCCTCGCTCTTATCTGTATTGTTAATGTTTAAACGAATGTACTATTGTTTAAATAATAGTTTATTGCTCCGCACGTCTATTAATAATTGTTTAAATAATCGAAAAGTTATCGGAAGTATTAATTTGTAAGTTTACGCATTTAGAAAAGAGGGTTTAGATGTGCACTCGTCGGAGTACAAAGTAAAACTTCCTTGGAAATCGTAAAAGTTAAGAAAACACGCGTTTATGTTTATATTCCATAAGACAAACTACTCATTTGAATATTTTGAAGTATTTGAATTTTATATTAAAATTGTCTTAGTTTCCTGCGTGTATTCGTCTTTTTATTGTTTAAATAAATGTACTATTGTTTACATATTGCTTGAAAGGTCTCTTGAATCTACATTAGAGAGTTTAGAAATTATCAAAAATTATCGGAAGTATAAATTTATAAGTTTTCGCGTTTAGAAGTAGAGTATTTACGATGTGCACTCGTCGGAGTACAAAATAAAACTAAGTCGTCGATCGTCAAATTTAAAAATAGTGTGTTTATGTTTATATTACACAGAACCAACTGTTCGGAGATCAAAATTTTTAAGTATTACAATTTTTAATTAAAATTATTTTAAATTCCTTGCGTGTTACGGTCTTTTTAAGTTTTCACGTTTAGAAGGAATGAGCTTTGATGTTTTCTCGTCGTGTTTCTATATCGTACTTTATACTTTTAAATATTTGTATAAACATTACGATACAATATTATCTGTCATACTAATTCATTTAATTTAACTACACTCATATATTTATATTTAAATTTCCCTGTTTATCTTATCGAATGTACGTGCATGTATATATATATATATATATATATATATATATGTGAATATCACGTAATACGTAAATATATCTGTATATGTGTATGTAAATATATATATATGTATGTATATTCATGTGTATATATATATATATCTTTTTTTGTTATTGATAGTTATTTCTTGATAGAAAATGTTTTGTTACTTTTAAATTGGAAAATGATAAGATTCAGTCGATGGGATGTGCGCATGCGTGTTACGCAATCACGCAGGCGCATATATACATGCAGGCACGACACCTATATAATACTCAGTGGCTACACGAACGTCACATAAGAATGTGATAGGTTTGATCTATTGATTGTATGCTTTTCGAAATATTTGTAGTTGAATATTACATAAATTAACAGTGTTAACGTTATTTTATTATTTTGCAGGTTACGAACAGGATAAAGGTCACATTCCGCCATATGAATTTCTTTTTTTACTCATCCTTTTACCTTTCACTTTGGAGTCTTTTTTTTTTTACTTCCTCGCACATACGAAAGAATATACGTATAAAAGCGTAGAATAACACGTTTATTATTAAAGGTAATGGAAAATAATATAAGACCATATATATCTTTATCTTTTTCTTAATATAAATCGTTGATTTCGTTTCATTCAATAGGTTATATTTTTATTCATTTACTCTTTCTTTTTTTTTTTCTTTTTTCTGTTTTGTTTCATTTCGTGCACAAAGAATGAAATGAAAAAAGAAAAAAAAAATGTAATAAGATCGATCCTTTCGAGGTGATCTTTAGAAAAATGTCTTCTGGAAGAACCTCGATGTAAATGTCAAGGAATATCGTAGCGAGATATGCTGAGAAGAAAAAGAAGAATTATATACATGCCCGGATGGTTGGAGGGGCGTCAGACATCGATAAGAGAAATCGAATCAAGCTTGCTACGTGGAATTGTGAAAGTAAAGGTGTATCGTTCCTTTCGAGTCAGGTTAGGTCTAATGGACAAGTTCTGTGCATACCTGTTGCTCTCACTATTCTACGTTCGTTTCATTCCGGTTCTTTTACTCGTTTTATCGACACTCTCCGCTTACGTTTCTCTATCAACGAGTTGATAAAAAAAAAAAAAAAAAAGAAAAAATTAACGTGATAATACTACAACGGTGATAACGGGATTCCGTTTTACAGAAGTCATTCCTTAGTGTCAAATACATAGCTTTTGACAATTATGGAGAATTTGAAAAGAAAATTGGTGGCCTACGGTCAGGAACATCTGTTACAATATTGGGATCAGTTGTCGCAAGAGGAGAGGGACATATTGGAGAAAGAAATTTTAGAATTAGACTTAGTCGAATTGACATCTTATTATGATAGAGCAACGTCATCCTTATCTACTGTTAAAAATAAATTAGACGATAAAATACAGCCTATACCAGAAAATAATATTGTTTCTGGCGAAGCTTGTACTAAAGAAGAATTGAAAATGTATAATTCATTGGGATTAAAAGAAGTAGCTGATGGACGTGTTGCAGTTTTATTATTAGCTGGTGGACAAGGTACTCGTTTAGGTGTTACATATCCTAAAGGTATGTACGAAGTTGGATTGCCATCCCACAAAACTTTATTTCAATTACAAGCTGAGAGGATACGTAGATTGGAAACATTGGCAGAGAAATATTTAGGAAAGAGGGGTGAAATAATATGGTACGTAGCATTATTTATGTTTTTTATGTTTATTATTATTATTATTCATTTATATGTAATGAATTAATTAAAAGAATATATTATAAATGTATTGTTATTGGATTAGGTATATAATGACCAGCGAAGCCACGCACGATTCTACGATTATTTATCTTCGAGAAAATGATTATTTTGGTCTAAAGGAGAAAAATGTAATGGCCTTTAAACAAGGTATGCTACCTTGTTTCACTTTAAATGGAAAAATTATTTTAGATGAGAAACATAAGATATCAAGAGCACCCGATGGAAATGGTGGATTGTACAAAGCATTGAAAGTCCAAGGAGTATTAGACGACATGGTACAACGCGGTATTCGTAGTATTCATGTACATTCCGTAGATAATATCTTAGTAAAGGTAGCGGATCCTATATTTTTGGGATATTGTTTATCCGTATCAACGGATTGTGGCGTTAAAGTAATTGAAAAATCTTCACCGTCCGAGCCAGTAGGAGTGGTTTGTAAGGTAATAACAAGACTATCATGTAAAATATTATTTATTTCTTTTATTAACGTTCACATATGTTTATTCCTTTTAGGTGGACGATCATTATCAAGTCGTTGAATATAGTGAAATTTCAAAAGAAACGGCGGAACTTCAACAGGACGATGGTCGACTGATGTTCAATGCTGCAAATATATGCAATCATTATTTTACCGTAGATTTTTTATTGGCACTTGGCAATAAGTACGAGGCATCAATGGAATTACATGGAGCTAAGAAGAAGATTCCTTACGTCGATGATAATGGAAAGAAATGCACTCCAACCAGTCCTAATGGTATTAAAATTGAAAAGTTTGTATTTGATGTCTTCAAGTTTGCAAAAAATTTTGTTGCCTGGCAAGGTATTCGCGAAGAAGAATTTAGTCCTCTTAAGAACTCGGATTCCGCCAAGCAGGATTGTCCCTCTACCGCACGTCATGATTTACTTTGGCTTCATAAGAAGTGGTTGTTAAATGCAGGCGCGCAAAAAATTAATGGGGATGTTGAAATATCACCTTTACGTTCATACGCGGGTGAGGATTTAAATAATATAGCGAAGGACCAATCATTCGAAGGGCCTAGCGTTATCGAATAACTCTATGAAACAACTTAATTAATAGATCGCATTGAAGAAGATCTTTTAATCGAGATTTTATTATTATTATTATTATTATTATTATTATTATCCAAGGGATATAAAACATTTGTATTTCTTCAGTATTGTTAAAGAAGAATGGAAATATTTATATTTCGTCTTCATTTAAAAATCATACGTACGGTACAATGTTGGACAATATTGAATTAAATTAACGATTAATATTTACAATTGATGTTCTCGTTTCTATGGAACATTTAGACGATCAATGTTTTGTGACTCTATAACAATAGCTCGTCAATGATTCATGGTGTGTCTCTAGCTACGAAGTTATTTATCAATACTCGATCATTGACATATAACCTCCTAAATAGATCATAGATCATTGACAAATTATTCCATAGAAATATTTACCTATATTGTTATTAATCGTTAATCGATTAAAATAATGTACAACATTGCTGTGATTCAATATGAGATAAGAAAATTTTTTATCGGTGTGCGATTTTTGATAACGAATGTATATATTGCGATCTAGTCGATTATCGAGCAAGATACCAATATCATACAATATCAATGGTATGTAATATCTGTTTATTAAATATATACTTTTTAATGAATGCAATATGATCGTTTAAAGAAATACGATATAGTATAATTTACCATATCGTATTTATTAATATTAATAATAATTGTTAATAATAATAATTTTTTTTTCTTTTTGGATCATTTTGTTTTTACCAACATCGACGTTACAATGATTAGTTATCACTGTATTATCGATAATACGATGATTACTGCATTATCGACGAATTACGATGGTCGCTATATTATCGATATTATCGATAAACTAGATTACTGTTTTCGGATGACAAAATATTAAATGCCAATAATAGATTGATAATTTTTAACTTTTTATTTCTTTTTATTTTAATTCATCTACAAGAATTATTTATGAAATTGCATTATATGTTAATATATCGGTAACGCATATTTATCGTTCCAAATATTTGACGAATTAACATAAAGATAACGAATA